TGAATTACCTGTCTGAAATAGAAAAAAAAAAAAAAAGGGGGGGGGAAAAAGTGTTTGAGTGAAAACCAGTAAAAATAAACTATGTAAGGAAGTAAAACATATTTGTGTTTATCTGCATTTTTTTGTCTTTTTCCAGGAGGAAAAGAAAGAAAAGTTGAAAACCAAATTCATAGCTACTTAGCAAGTTTCAGAGAAACACAGGAAAAATGTGCCTTAAGCAAAATGCCTTGACCGTTTTTCTTGATTTGTACAAAATTTAGTAAAATATTAGTATTAGACTAAAACTATGAAAATGAACAAGCAAAACAATTTCATTGAGAATCTTCCCTTTGCAGAGTCAAGTGTCTTTGTTTAGTCTCCTATAGTGACATGGTGAAGGTTTTCACATAAAACCACTATTGTGATATATGAATGATATTTATTAAAAAATAAAATAAAACTTCAGGCTGTTGTGAAGTTACCTTCCTCTTACCACAGGCAGCAGTAAACCAGAGAGTAATGAGAAAAACATCAGACACTACCACAGACTATGAGATGAACATTAATGTAATCTACTTCATGGTTCAAAATTAATTTTGACGTACCTTGTTTAAAAGTCTGTTTAAGTAGCAGAGGTTCAAGTGATGGGTCTAGTTCTTCTCCAACATTTTCTAGAAGAAGTGGAGTTCCAAACTGAATGCAGTTCTCCAGGGTTCTCATATAATCTGTGTCACTGACCTTGATAACATTCAGGCCATTTTCCTTCTCAAAATTCTTGATCCATTTATTTGCTTGACCTTGAGGATCAATCATTAATGGCCTAAAACATACAAGACAGTTTTCTCAGTGCTTGCAGGAGTTTTTCAAAATTTTAAACTATTTTAAAATGTTTCTGTGTCAGGCTGTCAAGGAAAAGAGTGATACAATTTTGATTCTGTTATTTTAAGAGATCAGTGAAATGGAGGTATAGGTGTTTTATCATAATTTGAAAAGTAATTCCAAGAATAGTTTTAGGAGTTGCAAAAAACATTCATAACATTTTTCATTAAATACATCACAATGCAGAATTTTTGTAAAATCTTGTTCTGCCTCTCCCCTGGAATTCTCAGTATTTGGAATATTTACTTTTATAAATTTTGAGTCCTTTCTCATATATTTTTTCACTTAAAAAAAATAGAAGTCAACAATTAGTTGCAATTTAAATCTGGGATGTTGGTATATCAGCTAGTGTAAGACTGGAAATGTAAGCAGGGCAGGGAAAGGTGGCAGTATTTTAATTTTGTTCAACAGATTTGTCCCCCTTTGTACTTGCTGATTTCATCTGTATGTATGTATTTTAATAAGTCAGACATGAATGATATCAAACACCTCCTCTAACTGCACCCTCAGAGAGGGTTATTACCACATAACTAAGCAACATTCTAAAAATGGAATTACACACTGTAATCTGAATATAATCTGAATCTACCACTAAGACTAATTCTTGAGAACACAGATCACAAGAACATCACTAGAAAGTTTTATAATCTTGTATTTCTACTGAGTGCAGAATATTTGCAGACAGCTATCACAAGTTTTCATATATTGTAATAGATACCATCCTTGAAATAAAATTTCATTTGGAATAAGAAAAAAAAAAGTTGTTAAAGGTCCTAAAAGAATCCTTTATATAGATGTGAGTTTCACACACAATAAATATGTATAAAACATAAAAATGTCATCTGATAGCCTTATAACTGTAGGACCCTGAAGTGGACTGTGGTATATCTGGACCCTGCAGTTTACATAACCTGAATCTTATCATTAAACATGTAAAACACGAGGATTTCTGTACTGTTCTAAACCTGATTCTTACAAATGCTTCATTAGCTATTAATAGGACAACAAGGTACTATATTAAAAAAAAAAAAAAAAGAGAAAAAAGAAAAAATAACAAATAACTTTATCCAAGAGCACTGCATTTCCTGAAAGGAAAGCTTTAAAGTAACTACATACACAAATCTCTAAAGTGTTATACCTCAAATTTCACATGGATATAAATCCAAGAGCACTGCATTTCCTGAAAGGAAAGCTTTAAAGTAACTACATACACAAATCTCTAAAGTGTTATACCTCAAATTTCACAGGAGCTGGATATAAAGACTGCACTCCTGCTTTCAATTATATTGTCTCTACAGAAGCTACATGGTCTCTAGACATTTAGTTTGCTTTTTTTTTTTTTAAAAAAAAGTGAAAACTTGTTTGGATTTGAAAATTAAACCTTTTTGTCACCTACCAACGTCTTGAATTGTCAACAATGACCCCATTGTCTACAGAAAATATGTCAGTTGGCAAACCAGCAATATTCCAGGCTCTTATTTTTATTGGGTCACCAAGAGTCTTACTCAAAGAGAAATTCTCAGAACAAGGGATGTTTTTCTTAAAAAAAAGTGAAAACTTGTTTGGATTTGAAAATTAAACCTTTTTGTCACCTACCAACGTCTTGAATTGTCAACAATGACCCCATTGTCTACAGAAAATATGTCAGTTGGCAAACCAGCAATATTCCAGGCTCTTATTTTTATTGGGTCACCAAGAGTCTTACTCAAAGAGAAATTCTCAGAACAAGGGATGTTTTTCTCCTGGAAAAAAAAGAAAAGAAAAGAAAACCCCATTTATCTTTATTCCATGTTTCTTTACTTCTTTTATTATGCCACTTCAGAGAAATTCTCAGAACAAGGGATGTTTTTCTCCTGGGGAAAAAAAAGAAAAGAAAAGAAAACCCCATTTATCTTTATTCCATGTTTCTTTACTTCTTTTATTAAATGCCACTTCAATCCAAAGTGACTATGTGCATTTCCTTTTAAGAGTTTGAAATAGGTCAAGTATAAGTAAAAATCCTAGGAAAAAATAAAATCATAGTTTCAATAGCTAACCATATTTCGCCACTGAATATTTACTCTCTCTCCAAATTTTATAGGATTTGTCTAGTTTTTTGTACATTCTAAATGTGTTTTGTTTGTTACATAAAGTTATGACAATGCATTACCTTAAGAAACTCACACACAGTTGGAAATCATCTAATGATTATATCTTCCATTAACTCAATACAGTAATCGGATTTGTTACTATTTAATGTCACAGTCACAATCACTGACTTCAAATCACTTGATTTATGAATTATGGCATTAGTATAAGTATGTTGGAACTGTCCCTTTGCAAACAGCATAATCAACCATTTAATTAACACTTCTATAATAACTTACACTGGCACATATTTGTATTTTTTTACACCATACATAACTGCATTTTAAAGTTAATTCTTTCATTTAAAGGCAAAAAGAAAATTCTGATATTTTATTTAAGTAATAATCAAGCCTTACAAAGTCAATGATGTGCTCTCATTTCTGATATGCTACTTAAGGTTAGAATAAATTCACTGATTTAATTAAATTCAAATTTACAGAATATTGGATCAGCAGAATTTATCCCATTCATCTTAATGAGTTTTACTAGGCTAATATTAAATAAACAACAAGGGATTTTTGAGGCCTTTTGCAGTAGTCCGAAAAAAAGCAAACACTTATTTAAATCTAAGATAACCTCCTAACCTTGCACAGTTTGCTCCAATCTTTGGTACATTCTTGTCGAAATCCAGCAGTAAAAGCTCCCAGATATGCTATCACACCAGCTGATATCAGAACATCTCCTGTCAAATTATCATATGTGTCCTGAAGATCATTTGCGGCATTATTCCACCTATGACAAGCAGAAAATACAGAAAAAAATGGTGCTGAAACCTCCACATTAATGATATTGACGATAAAAATCAACCTTTTTTTGTTGTTGTTTATCTTAACTTCAGGCATAGAATAAGGACACTGTGTTTATGTATTTTATTCTTATTTTGAAGACTTTCTCTACAATTCTCCCAATGTTGCTGCCAATATTTTTACATTATAAACAATTATGAATCTTTCAAGATCCCAGACTGTTACACTCTTCAGCAGTACAGCGCTCAGACAGAGATACAGCTCAGAGAACTGAAGTTCAAATTCTATTTCTACAATGGCTGTTATATCTGACATTTGAACTTTAACCTGACCTTGATTTCTCTCCACCAAGGCCTCCAATCAACTTCTCTGCTCGTTCTAGTTTTTTAGCGCACAGATCAACCTGGAATTCTAAATGAGCCTTTTCTTCAGTTTTCTCAGTGAAGGTTCCTTCCAAAGCAGCCAAATGATTTTCCACTGCTGCAAGTTCTTCTCTCTTCTGATTCAAGAGTGTTAGTGTCTCTGCTAAGGACTGCTGTGCCTCTCTCAAACGATCTTTCTTGGGTGCAACCACCTATTCAATTACAACCAATACACAAATGCTTAAAGCCCATTTTTGTAGCTTTATTATTTAATACAATGCTTAGGGTGAATATACCAAGCAAAAGAAGTATTTCACAGCACTGAGGGACTAGGGTCAAAAACGCACCTTTGCAACCCTGTCATACACCTCCATTGCCATAATCCATTTACATAAACCCTCTGCTGCCGAGGAAGCTTTAGCCACCTTTTGTGGATCAAACTCAGGATTAGTCAAGTATTCACCCCGAATCTTCTGCATGACAGCTGCCTGGATAACAAAAGCATTATAGCTCATCAAAGTCTTGTGGCTGACACTTTAAAATTACACTGATTGATTGCCTTTTCTCTACACAATGAAATAGGAAAGAACTACTCAGTATTAATTGTGGTAGAAACCACTGCTCATTTGTTTCTTTTAATTTTCCTATCATGCTTTGTGGCCTTTTCCTGTTTTCACTCTAATCCTATCCTTATCCTTTATAATCATGAATTTGGTATGTCTTCCATGCAGCAGCTACCAGTACTAAGAGAGCATTACAGTCACGTAGAAGCCTTAATTTACGCTGTTGCAACCCTGTCATACACCTCCATTGCCATAATCCATTTACATAAACCCTCTGCTGCCGAGGAAGCTTTAGCCACCTTTTGTGGATCAAACTCAGGATTAGTCAAGTATTCACCCCGAATCTTCTGCATGACAGCTGCCTGGATAACAAAAGCATTATAGCTCATCAAAGTCTTGTGGCTGACACTTTAAAATTACACTGATTGATTGCCTTTTCTCTACACAATGAAATAGGAAAGAACTACTCAGTATTAATTGTGGTAGAAACCACTGCTCATTTGTTTCTTTTAATTTTCCTATCATGCTTTGTGGCCTTTTCCTGTTTTCACTCTAATCCTATCCTTATCCTTTATAATCATGAATTTGGTATGTCTTCCATGCAGCAGCTACCTAAGTACGAAGAGCATCACAGTCACGTAGAAGCCTTAATTTACGCTGTCCCTTGTGCAAAACATGCTAATTTCATTATTTGCTCTCTTTTCTCAAGACACAGCTGTTGGGGATCATTATAAAAATGTATTTCTACTAATGTAAGGCAAAATCTAAATTAATTACATTGCTTGTGCCTACTTTCGGGGACCAGTTTTATAAAGGGCAAAGCATATTCAATTTCCACTGAATTGGACAAACGGCAAGAATCACACTCTCAGACAGTAAGATCTTTGGGGGAGATGGTAATATTTTAAATAAAGTTATATAGCTAGTACTTTTCTGCATTTATTGTATATCTTCTAGCATACTTAACAAAATATTACCTATTTTGTCAGCATTCATTCAATCAAAATAACACAATTAGAAACAGCCATTAAGAAGAGCACCAATGTGGGCAGTTATTTAAAAATAGGAAAAAGTTTGTGATGCCAGAGTAATTGATTTAGAAAAACTAGTACAAAAAAAGGCACAGAAAGGTTGGACAGGGATCAAATGTTCCCTGGTTCCACAAAAACCCCCCAACCAAAACCCAAAACAGAATACATGAAATGAGGCTAAAAGGACCCAGGTTCAGAAGAAACAGAAGGAGATAGCTCTTCATACCACTAAAAGTAGACTTCTGGAATGCTTTGTAAAAAGATCTTGTAGATACAGAAATTTAACATAGTCTTAAGGGGACTAGAGAAATTACAGAAGAGAGATCCACTGAAAGGTACTAGGCATACAGAAACTACATCTAGCTCTAGAAGTCCTTCATTTAAATTGCTGGAGGCTGAAAGAGTATTTGGAGAAATTACCATATATACTGTTCCTACTCCTTCCAAGGCACCTGCTTATGGCCATCTTTGGACACAGGATAATGGACAGGACAGACTATTTACTCTGATACAGTTTTTTAATGTGTTATTTTTACCTTTTGATGAGATACTACCTATAAATTGCAAAGTTAGAAACATTTGTGCACAGAAGGACATTTCATTCAAATAGAAGACAGGCTATATAGAAGCCTTAAAAATTCCCAAAGGGAATTCTAAAACCTTCTGAAATACCACTTAGAAGATTCACCCTGAGGAAGTTTGACTCACTTGCCATGACCATACTCATCCCATAGAGATACCCTATCATATTGTAAAGATCTTTGGTCATAACAGAAGTTGACTAACTTGGGACAAATGGGGCCTCTGATATAGTATTTTCTAATTTTATTTTTTTTTCCCCTGCAAGAAAGTATCTACATGGTAAAAATCACTGAATAATTAGACAGAATTCTTACTGGAATATTGTCCTTGTCATACTCTTTCAAATCCTTTAAGAAATTGATGTCACCAAGCGGTTTCTTGCTTGGAGCCCAGTAATCCAAAATCTACAAAACACAGAAGGAAATATCTTTTCAAGCTTTAAAACAAACACACAAACAAAAAATGACAGATCTCTTTTAATTAAAACTCATGCATATTTAAATACTGATGACCTTGTATCTCCTTGAGACGTCAAAAAAGGAGAAAGTCTATCAGATCAAGCATTTCCCCCAAACCATACCTAAAGCCAAAAACTGAATAGTGTCTCAGGGAAGAGTTACGTATTATCTATTATCTATATACGAGTCAAGCAAATTAAATATGTTCTCTTTACACATTACAAAACTTCGAAAATTTGGAATTCTGGAAGTTTTCAGTAATATAATGGATGCAGGCTGTAAGTACTTGCCTACTTTAGTGGACCTTGGGTGATCTTGTTTATTGAACAAGGGGTCTGTGTTGAGAAGAACATGAATTACACTTTTATTTGAAACTATTGTCTGTCATTTTACCTTGCCTCCAGTCCCTGAAGGATCTGCAATTTTTTCAGGTTTTATGTCTTTCATGACACAGACAGCAGCCATGACAAGTTTGACACCAGACGGAGGATTTTTCATTGATTTGACAATTGATATATCAGAAGGCTAAAATAAAAATCACATTTAAAAAAATGACAGATGTTATGCCTTTCTCGCCACTAAGATAAATGAACTAACAGGAAAAAAAGGGGAATTATAACACCATTACCAACGAACATAATTATAGAGGACTTTTAGAAGGGATGATACAGTGTTAGCAAGACAATTAGCAATATCCATCAATGTATCCTATGCAGGGGAAATAAAAATGAAATGAATGCTAGTAACTGTAAACTAATGATTAATTAAAATTATATTTTAAAAAGTCTATGTCAGAATATTTTTTTATATACTTCCGTAAGTGTCATCTAAGACATCTCACATACTTCATACCTCCTACTATACTAAATTCCTGCAGGACTTTCACAACAATACTGCTTTCAGATCATGTGTAAGTCACAACAAGGACAAAACGTTTAAACCAAAGATCCAGATAATTCTTAGCCATAAACAAACGCCATGTTACACACTGACTGTCAACATTAACTTAGCTGAAAGAGTTAGCATTCTTTCCCAAACAAATGGAAGAGTTTCATCATGTTAAATAACTCTTTCAAATGCTGAAGTTTAGATCAGCTTGCCTTCAAAGTGTCAAGAGCATCAAGTGCGGCCTCCAGGGCTGGGATTGCCTCTGCCAGGTCACTCTCACATTCATTTTTCAATGTCTGAGCTTCTTCAGCTTTTTCTGCAGCAATTTCTTCATCTACTTTTACAGTTTTTCTTTTTTGTTCTACTTCTGCAGATTCTATTTCTATAGTCTAAAGAAAAATACATGAGTGAGCTTCCTATTGAGCAGTGGATGATCAAATAAACTGAAGTTATCTAGTATAGCACTTGGGGAATACTGTAAAATATAAAGAGAAAATTGAAGTATTTCAGTATTTTCATATATTTTCAATTTATATTAAGGGAATAATTTGCTTCTTCGCATAACGTAACGTCATCATGGAGCTTTAACAGTAGGTAAACTGCATGAAATCAGATTATTGTCAATCAAAGCTACTTAAAATATGTTTGAAGTTCAGGAGACAAGAAACTCTTCACGTTTGTCCATCAGACTGTAACTAAAAAATGACTAGCTTTTATAGTGAGTTTTCATAGCTTCATAGACTATAACACTGACTACTGAAATTTATTTTCTTTTCAGTGATGAGTCAAGCCTTCATCCAAGTACTCCCTTTTCAGTCCTACATTAGTGACATCTAGTTTTCTTAGAGGTTCGTAGGAGTAGCTAGAAGAGATATAAGGTTTTTTTACAGATACAGTGACAAATCAGAAGCAAGTGCATAAAAACGTCAATCAAATCTTGGTTTTTTGTGATGCAACAGTAATATACTAGGTAAGCGTATTTTCACAAGTCAGAATTTTCAAAGACACCTCAGAGATTGGTTCCTACATCCCCCTAAATTTCTATGAAGCTAATCCTTTTTAGGATCTTCTAAAAATCAAGCGTATAATCCCTGTGCATGCAAAGACAGACTGTGCAAAGCTGTTCTTGTTTATTTTGTATGCTGAAGAACTATTTGTGGTTTTTGCAATGTTTTGAATGACCTTGGGAAATCCAGTCTAACCACTATCAGCATGAATGTTCCTCTAACATCCTTCAGCATGGAGCTTAGGCAAGGACTGTATGTCCAGAGTCTGTATCTTACATAAAGAACACAATTTTCTTCCAGTTCTAAGGATATAAGCATAAACTGTGGCAAGTTTCACAATACCAAAAACCCCAGTAAACAAGAAGTGAGCTCAAAAACCTGAACTCAGCTCTTATTTTCTGAAAGTCACATATCAGCAACCTTATACAAGCATATTCTTTAGAACCTGCCTACAATCAGCTGAGATACTGAAGTAGAAGTACAGTGTACGATTAAGATTCCTCATTCAAAGCTAATTATTACAAAGGTGAAATTATGGATCCCAAGTATACACATGCTTACATTAAAAACAATAAAGTTGTATTTGTATAACTCTACCTTCATCATGTTTGCATTATCCAATTTAGCCTCTTCCAGTTTGGGCTGCAGCTGAACTAGTTCTTGTTTCATCTCACCAACCTATACATACGCAAAAGAATCAGGTAGGATTCAGAAGTGCCAAGTACAATTTCCAACAATTACTATAAGACCTAGATTTTACCTAATGACTAATTTATTGATAGAAGGAAATAACATTCAGTTTCAAATCAAACACTTCAGAGACTTATTATGATCTCATATGTACAATCTCTAATTTTAAGAACTACGTTCACTTATAGTCACCAGCAATACATGCTTAGAGGTCTGTGGCCTCTAGCACAACTGCTAAGACTGTAGGAAAGAAAAGGCAAAATACATTTCTTATAGTTCTATTGTTGAAGATCAAGCTAAACAAAATCTGAAGTAATGTGTTTGACTGACTTCTCCAGGATAAGACCGGCTTTTGCCAAACATTTTGTATTTTCAGTTCCATTTTTGTCCTAACTCACTTGTGATTCAGCAAAAGCTAGTTTATCTAGTCCATTCACATATTTTTTCTTGGCTTTCATTACAGTGTCTCGTTTCTGAGTAAGAAGTTTCCGAAACGCAGCAATAAGCTCAAGATAAGAAGTAGGAGTAACGTAATTATGGCGTCCCAGACTTTGCAAGAACCTTTAAAAAAAAAAAAGGTGCCTTATAAGTTTTGCTTTCTTTTTTTAACTATTGTTAGCAAAGTTATGTAACTGACAAATAATAGGAGTAAACAATTTTGACAATTTTATGTAATATTTTTATGCAGGCAGATAGCATACATTAACTTTTAAGACAGAAATGAGTAGTAATGAAACTCAAATCACCTACTATTTTGTTGTTTCTTGCGTCTAAAAATTCAACTTCTGAGTTCTCTGTTGCTTGATTTACTACTTTCGATAGCATAATGTTTTCCCTCTTACTATTTCTATAAATTAATGAGTTGTTTTCAAAAGAAACAGACTGACCTTACAGAGAGTGACAAAACTGAAGTATGAAAATATTTACAGATGGGCACAACTTCCTGACGCTCACTGTCTGTGAGCTGAAGTGTTTCTAAGAATTTATTAGCCACACGTTCAAGGGCATCTTCAGGCCACGGCTGAGGGAGAAGTGAGGAGATAAGCATTTGTAAGATTCAGCTGTTAGCAGTCTTCATACTTTAAAAACAATTTTTACCATTCAAAACACCAGAATGAGACATACTAGTCCCAACTATGTCTCAAGAACAATGAACTGATATAAGGGTTAGATCAGGCAGCAAGGTCACGCTACCCATGCAATCTTTTCTGGCAACTCCTGGCTGATCTTCTAGTTAAAAGCTACATATTGCCATTCTATCCAAACATTTCTGTGTCTATGTCATCCTTTGGCAGAAAAATTAATTGATGTCAGCACCAGGCCAAGCTATAGAGCTGACTGCACTTTATTGAGAGTAACAGCGCTTACATTAAGGATCGTTAACTACAGTAATTTTCCAAGTTTTATTCTGCTATAAAAGATCTACAGATAAACAACAGGACTTGTATTTGCTAGTCATTCCCATGACGCATGATCTGCTTAACAGGCAGCAGAAATTATGATCATTTTACAATCACATTGAAATGGTTTCTCTAGTCCTTTAAAACATACATGTTATGCAATAAAATAACCATCACCAAACTGAGACTATTCACTACTTCAGAGATGTAAAATTTGTAGCAACAAAATTTAAGTTTGTTTAATTGTAGAAATACTGAGATCACACACCAAAGAGCTCCCAAAATATTACAAAAAATGCCCATGCTATTTTAAAATTTTGAAAAACATGAAGTACTTCTATACAGAACACAAGAGAAAATCTAACGGGACACGAAAATATAGACTGTTAGAAAACTGAAGTAGTTTGTTGAGGAAACAATATAAATATTTTCACATACCTGGAACCAATCAATAGTACAGCAGTTGATGAGTGAGGGAAACTGTCTCAGACGATTGCGGAAAGCATCTCCAATTGGGCTGAATGCCACCACGATATGGAGATTTTCTTTGCAGCAGTTCACAAAAAACGCAAACAAGGCCAAGGGACTGAGTTCTTCATGTTTATTGCCAGCCTGAACTATTGCACGAACAGCCTTAGGAATAATACATAGGGTAAGAACTGTTATATTTCTCATTAAACACTTCTGAAGTCCTATAGCAATCCTGTTAATTTTAGCATCACCATGAAATAAAATTTTTTATTGATAAATGAAACAGGTAGAATAAATTAGAAAAACAGAACAAGTAGTAAATACTATTTGAGAATAGGATTACGATATTTATCTGTGACCCTGACAACTCATTCTAGAAATGATCATCTGCTGCTTTCAGCAACTGAGAATATGTCAGAACAAAAACTAAAAATCAAACCCAAGATGAGTTCCAGATGGATAAGACACATTAAGATGAGACAGAGGGTCAAGACACATTCTGAAAAATCAGAATTCATAATTAGCTCCCTCAAGAAATAAAGAACCAAAGCCTTCTAATGATAAATACAACTATGAGGCTTAATTACAGTCAAACCTCAGTCACTCAAAAGATTTAGGAGATACAAACAATGAGGCAAATTACTACTCTCATTACACAAAAGCCACTATCACAAAAGCAAATGTTTTTCTTACCATGTATGCTGTTAAGTGCCATGTAAGTCCCCTAAACAACATTTCAAGACATTAACTTACTAAGAACTTTTTTAGCTTTAAGATTATACTAAAATATGCTGTATTTACCTAATTGGAGAGGAAGATTTACATTTCAAACATCAAAACTTACTCCATTTGTTCATTTACCAAAACCAATAATTTCTCAAAAGAAGAAGAAACCTCTAGATTTGAAACTAAAGACTACTTCATAAAAGTATTATCCTCAATTAATTAACAATCCATGAAACACTGACTATAAACCCCTAAAACTTAAATTCTTCTTCACAAAAGCACGTGTACTATACATAATCCCACAATTAAAGTAAGTGACAAAAATTAATTTAGTAGCAATAGAGTAAAAGTGGAAATATTTTGATGGAGCAGATTTAAATGAGTAAAAAAACAACTTTGCTCCAGTTGGCGTATTATGGATAGCTACTAATTTTTAGCAAACACCAATTGAGTATGTTTGTACAAACTGTAAAACTGTAAAAGAGCCACATTATCTTAATATTGTTACTATATACCTGGCAAGAATGAAACAGTAATAGAGAAAGATTATTAGAATTATAATCTAACTTCTTTGCAAAATATATGGAATGCAGGTATCAACATGCTCCATAACTTAAGTGCAAGAAAAAAAACAATACAGTAACATTTATCAAGTGATATAGCTATTTCAATAAAGAACAGTTGTGTATGTACTAAGAACCACTTTGAATGTCAACTAGAAGCATACCTAGGTAATTTATTAGTAAACATACCACAGAGATATGAAGACAGCACAGCATACAGTTCCAAATATTGTTAGCTAACATTAAGTTTCCAACTTGATGTGTACAAAGATTGACGCCTCTCCCTCCCAACTGGTGATTGCTATTTTGAAAATCCAAGCCTGATTTTAGTTAAGACTTTTTTTTAAAAATTGCCCAAGTACATTGCATCTTTACTTCTGAGCCTGAATTCATGGAGCACCCTTCCCCAACTTCTCTCTGAGTAGAAGTGTCAAGACTATGAAATTCGGTCTAACAATGCCCTAGTGCCCTAGACAGCAAGAGTCTATTGACAAAGGCAGGCTGTGTTTTTTCAAAAAATGTCTTTGTCCTTAACTGATCAATGAAAACATGATGATGTATATTCTTCTTTTGCACAATACACTGCAAACAGTAACTGTGGCCATGGGGTATTTGTGAACAATCAAAGTTCCCTACGTGCACAACTTAATGTGTTTGTGAACAGAACTCCAGGTCAGAATTAAAGCTAGTAGTAGGCATAAGCTACTCCATAAGTTTACTAATAACTGGCTGGTTTATCTAAGGTCTCAAAAAAAGTCACAGAATTAACTGCATATATCCAAAAGCCCCACTTCACACTTAACTGACGAAATAGCTTAAAAGGGAGGTGACATTAATGAGAATTTCTAAAGATACCTCTGTAATTTCTTGTTTTTCATCTGCTGCAAAAAGATTGGGTACTTCCCCAGTGTTGAGGACACTGTCAACATCTTCTAAAAAGCTTTCTTCTTTAATTTGTGCATCTGTGATTATAAATACAGTTTTCAAGCCTTTTACACCTGCATTCTTCAGAAGACTCTGAAAATGCAAGACAGTTAAAATACTGTACAATTCCAAAACACCCTTCCTCAAAATTAAGTCAAAATGCAGACAGGTTATTAATACTCACTTTCAGATCTTCTCTCCACTCATTTGTACCGTAGGTCTTAGAAATCTCTGGTTGAAAAACACACATCTTTGCCATAAATGCCGCTAGACGAGTCAAAGACTGACGTCCACTTCCTCCCATTCCAACCAACAAAGCATTACCCCCTGGCTGCTTCAGAATACGACTTATACGAGACAAATGTTCCAATACATACCTGTATTTGAAATGTGCTGATTACCAGAATGGCAGAAATACATATGCATTTGTGCACCTATAAATCTCTGAAACAAGTATAGAAGTAGCATCTCCAAAACAAATTTCTGAAGGCAGGGTGGGGTGGGCGGGAAGAGGAAGAAAGCGAGCGGGTATGCACCACAAAATAAAATAAAACTCGCAACTCTTCTATTATACAAATATCAGTATTTAGCTAAATTACAAATGACTACAAATTACTGAAAGGAATGATCAGCGGTGAGAACCAGAGCACTACATGGATAAAGGTGTCAAAGAAAAAGAAAGAGAAACAGGCAGAAATTCTCTGCTTCTAAATGATAACAGTATTATCAGTTTTAACTTTCTTGAAGTATAACAGTTTAAATACGTTTTAAAGGAACAACTGGGGAAAAATGGGTTATATCAACAAACCTCTTCCTTCCCTCTGCCTCTGACAGTGTTTTATAACTTACATGTGAAATAGATATTGGAACAACATCTTCAGAAAGCAGTATCTGCACATTACTGAGAGTCCTATCTATTGTGAAAACACAAGCATAGTTTATCTTGGAATATGCAGCAAGGTCTACAGGAGATGGCCTGTTTAAGCACAGGGCATGGGGTAGTTAAAGGAAGCTGAGCAGCAGTTAAAAGTGGTCTCAAAAAAAGGTTAAAGCATTTCAAAGAAGATAAATTCTTGTTTATTTTGATTGGTTAGAAAAATAAAGGAGTCAAATCCAGATGTTATTCACGAGATTGGACCCTAAGGCTACAGTCAGACATGCTCTCCTGGCTGCTGTTCAGTGAGGTAACTGGGATATTGCTTCTACATTCAGGAAGTGGCCTCTGATCAGAGGGTGCCAGCTCTTCAAACTCCCAGCATAATTGTATATACAGGTACTCAGAAATCCAGCTTGTCAAAATGACCTAGGCTGAAATAAACCGCTATTAGAAGTGTTTAAACTAACCCTAATCACCTTCACAAAGCATCTAGGTGTCAAGTTACACAGGCAAATATGAAGAGGCAGTAATCTCTAGCAATAGGGAGGAGGAAGGAGTTGTGACCTCCTAATCTGTCTCAGTTGTATGTACCTCTGCCTGATCACAAGTTAAGGTAACAATAGCAGCCTGCAGAGTCTAAAATTTCACAGGATTAGCTGCAGCACAGGCTGGGTACATGCCCCGAAGTCGGGCATGGCTGTGCTGCATAATAACAGAGCAGACAGACGGCTATGACTGTGCTATATCTCACTCTGCACCTCACAACCTTAGAATCCTTGTCCTTGGTGAAATGAAAGTCCAGTGGCTACAGGCAAAACTGACATTCATCTTCACTGTAACACAGGCCTAGCAGAAGTAGAGCAGCCACCTGATTTGGTGCATAATGTTTCTTTAACAACCAATGAATATATTCAAAGCCCCTGCGGAGAAAAACTTCTCATTATTTACTTTTGGATAGAAAAAGCAGGGGCATAAGAGAAAAATCAGTTCACTTCCATCCGAAAAGGTGTAACACCACAAACACTTTTGTGGATGCATAAAGGGGAGGAGACATACAAAAAACACAGCCCACAAAATTGGATATACTGAATTATCAACTGCTGCTTAAAGCTCTTAATAATACAGATCGTATGCACCTGAAAACCACAAGGTTCATTCTTGTTTTGTGGGTTTGATTATATTCATCCAGACACTGCTCCACAACATCACCGAACAGCTGAATGCTTGGAATTTCAACATAAAGTCTTTCATCTCCCTCAAGTTCTGGAATCATGTAGTCACCAAAAAACAAACTTCTCATGTCTTCTTCTGTTATCTATGGTAAATATGTAACAAATTATGAAGCTTAATATTTAATGAACATATTCCTCATTGGAATTTTAGAGAACAAAGGAGAATTTAGACAAATACTCAAGACATGAGAACAAGCACTCTGAAAAATTTTGACTCACAGACAACACCCACCTCAAAATTCTCTATTTCCCGTATTAAACAATATTACTTATTCTTAATTTGTTCTTGGAAAACAACTGGCTCAAATAGACATTAACAGTCTCATAATCATGACCTTCAGATTACACCAAATTTATAGAGATGTATGTTTAGCAATTTTCAATATATTATGAAATGGATAACTAAGACCACAAAGTTATATCTTCTATACATCGATGAAATGACAGGGGAAGAAAAAAAAACAGAAAAAAGGAAGACAAGGCATACAGTATAACATGATTATACATAATTTTAAATACTAAAATTTCGTAACAATTACAGAATGCTGTTTACCACACAGTAACTCAGTCATAGGCTAAATTTAAAAAGGGAATGTTTCTTTATCCTGTAAATCAGGTCTCTTGAAGTCCATTTAAGAGTATTCATACTTGTATTTTTCCTTGCAGGCACAGTACTGTGCGCAGATCCCAGCTACTTTTGTGGTAGTGATTTATAAATTACGCTGGTTGTTTCTGTTACCTCCCATTACCCAAAGATTCCGTATGTGCTGCTACATTTCCAAGAAAAGATGTGAAAGAATTTTTTTGAGAAATTGCTCTGCTGACCTACTGATTAATTGGATGCTTTACTTCTATGTGTAGACATATAGAAGCCTAATAGAACACTACGCTGAATAAATTAAATAAGATATAAATACCCAGGTGTTTTTCAGGTAAATCTGAAAAATTGTTGCACTATTTTTTTTAATTGAATAAGAAACAAGTTTTTGTTTCACTATCAGATACATAAAATTCTTTTATGGAACAGTAATAAGTTTACCCACATTTTAAATGAAATATTTTTTGAAAAGGATGTTTACGTACAACAGTTAAACCCTTCCAAACTTTTTTACTTTTTTTTTCCAAAGAAGCCATTTTGCCAAATTCAACTCAAATTTTCAAGCACATTTGATCCAAAATTTCACCTGTAATTGAGAAACTTTCTAGTCCTAAATTTATCATGAAAACAATTGTTTTGCAACAGGTTAATCGTGATACTCACTGGTGTTTTTGCTTGCTTCAGGTGTGCAAAAACTGAATCAAATGTTTCTTTGAAATGTTCTTTCACAATACTTTTCATTAAATTGAACAACCAGGCTCTATCATTGTCTTCCACTAGACGGTCATAGAAGACACGAAATACCTCATGTACAAACAGCCGAATCATTACATGTTTGCTTTCAACTGATCTTCTGTTAATGAGCAAGCAGCCATGGATAACACGTGAAAAGTCACGCAGGTTGAATATATAATGAGATTTGGCTGGTGTGGGCAAAAGATTTTTGATGGCTTTCTTATACACCTTAAGATAAGAACAACAAAAAAGAACAAAATCAACAAAACAGTAACACCAAGTATATTACTATAATAAACCTTAAGTGTCTTCTAAAATCGTATTTCTCCAAGAAAAACATTTCACACTTAATACATCCTAATAATGTCTAAAGATCTTGAAGCCCTCTGAATGTATCACATGTATCTCATGCAGTTCTGGAACGTACACGTACTACTAACCTAATTGCAAATGGGAAAAGTAATTGTAGCAAATGTAAAGAAATCTGTTGTAGGACCAGGAATACCACTCAGACCTCTTGACTTCCTTTAATTATATGATATCCTCCTTCAAGTGAAGGATCAAATGATATGCAATGGTAACTTCCTAGATTTTCAGTTGTTTAAATCTATTTGTTTGCATATCTACAAATTACTAAAAAAATAAAAAGACTGTCAATAAAAATGCCAAAGGAATAGCCAGATCAAGAAAAGTGTCTTTTGACTATGTTTTGCTCTTTTCTGGAATGCATAAGCTGTTGTTAGCTCATGCTGTTGTGACAGAAATAGTGTCATTTCTCATTACATTTGACATAAATAACACTCTGAAGTGAATGCTGACAGAGGAAACTTTTAATCTGTCTCTGTATACTCATAGATGAAGACAATTATCAAACATCAACCTGCTAAAAAAAGTACAGTAAAATCAAGTGCTCCAGGCTTCACTATATCCATAGTACTAAGTACACATTTCACCTGTTGTCCCATGTCCAAAGCCAATTTCAAAGCCCAGTTCTTCTATTATATTTTCATCCTAGGAGTTGGAGGGTATTGCTTACCAGGATGAAAATTCATATTAGAACAGATTCTCTAGCAGGCAAATGTGTAAGTGTCTAACAGTATAAACAAAATTTGATGCAGTCTGATATGAAATACCTGCATGACTGTATTAAAAGACAACACACTGAAATTGGTCCAAGACGTATCCTGACAAAACCGAATGTTTTAAATATATAGTCAAAAGCATTCAAATCACTAGTAGCTGCTACTATTATTTTCTGTTTAAAGAGCAAAACTTGTGAATTTCTTGTGAATTTCTTTTTTGTTTGTTTTGGAAGGATTAATTGAACCTACAAAAAGATTTCTAGTGGCAGTAGTCAGTCAGCCTTGTGATTCATACATTGAATGTATTATCTAACAATAGTTCTGAAATACCAGCTCTGCAAGTCCTTGGAATGAGATGGATTCATAGAATAGTTTGGGCTGTGAAGGGACCTTTAAAGGTCATCTAGTCCAACCCCCCCTGCTGTGGGCAGGGACATCTTCAACTAAATCAGGTTGCTCAGAGCCCCGTCCAACCTGACCTTGAATGTTTCCAGGGATGGGGCATCCACCATCTCGCTGGGCAACCTGGGCCAGTGTTTCACCACCCTCAGTGTAAAAAATGTCTTCCTTATATCTAGTCTAAATCTACCCCCCTTTTAGTTTAAAGCCATTCCCCCTTGTCCTGTCGCAACAGGCCCTGCTAAAAACTCTGCCGCCATCTTTTTTATAAGCCCCCCTTAAGTACTGATAGGCTGCAAGAAGGTCTCCCCAAAGCCTTCTCTTCTCTAGGCTGAACAACCCCAACTCTCTCAGCCTTTCCTCAGAGGAGAGGTATTCCATCCCCCTGATCATTTTCGTGGTCCTCCTCTGGACCCACTCCAACAAGTACGTGTCTGTCTTATGCTGAGGGCTCCAGAGCTGGACGCAGTACTCCAGGGGGGGGCTC